ACTCCATTTTTGATGTATGTCGACCTAACCTTAACTAACTGAAAATCTTATATACTGAAATTTGTAATTTTCATAACCGTATTCGTGTGCACAATGCCTTAACTGGAAACAGGACACAAGCACTACCATCATTAAACCTGTAATATTCTGTTCATAATTGTCTTTACGTATTTTTGTTCCACCTTTTGTGGTTAACTATGTGCTACAAAATTGTAAACAATGGAAGTAGTCACGCAACTTGTTCGCATCTCAAGGCACGTCAGCAGTTGTCCCTCGAAATCAACGTGACACACTGAAAACCAAAAAGAGTATTATCGATGTGGGCATTACGAGATTAAGTAAAAATTATAAGTATTTTAGTGAAGTTACGTGTATATGCCGCATAGTCATATGCAAGTCTTTAGGGACCAATGACAACAACAGGTAGAAATTAGGCACTGCATTCGAGTTCCAGTTCGTATACGGTTAGGTGTATTCGAAAGTATTGCATTAATAATGTTTCACTTAAGCATTATGTCAATCCATATGACTAAGGCTGTTAACATATAGCGTAAATTGAAGTCTACACGAGAGAAATTATTGAATTTGTTGAGCTATAGCAATCGTAGTCAGATTTACTTTACACTGAGATTTGCCACCAATTACTTTGCCAGGTCTCATTGATGAGTTGTCAATGTAGTTGAAGATTGAACTATCAATTCAGGGTTGTTTGCTCAAAACCAACTTCCCCAATTTTCGCGGAGGCATCAATACGACAGTCACCGTCTCATCGGTCGCTGTTCAGAGAGAAGTCAGCAGAAAACCGTCAGAAGTAATATTGTGATTTATTATTGTAATGTTTGTTCACAGACCTTAGTTATACATTATTTATATGTTGGTGTAACAATAAAGAATCCTCGAGTCAACAATTGGTGTTTTGGTTTTTTCGTCCGTTATTACTAATCGTTTCTGAGAAACTTCAAGGGACAGCGTGAGCCTGAGCGTAGCAAGAGCTGGGCATTAACGGTTTACGAGACGTGACTGACAGACTCCATTTTTGATGTATGTCGACCTAACCTTAACTAACTGAAAATCTTATATACTGAAATTTGTAATTTTCATAACCGTATTCGTGTGCACAATGCCTTAACTGGAAACAGGACACAAGCACTACCATCATTAAACCTGTAATATTCTGTTCATAATTGTCTTTACGTATTTTTGTTCCACCTTTTGTGGTTAACTATGTGCTACAAAATTGTAAACAATGGAAGTAGTCACGCAACTTGTTCGCATCTCAAGGCACGTCAGCAGTTGTCCCTCGAAATCAACGTGACACACTGAAAACCAAAAAGAGTATTATCGATGTGGGCATTACGAGATTTAGTAAAAATTATAAGTATTTTAGTGAAGTTACGTGTATATGCCGCATAGTCATATGCAAGTCTTTAGGGACCAATGACAACAACAGGTAGAAATTAGGCACTGCATTCGAGTTCCAGTTCGTATACGGTTAGGTGTATTCGAAAGTATTGCATTAATAATGTTTCACTTAAGCATTATGTCAATCCATATGACTAAGGCTGTTAACATATAGCGTAAATTGAAGTCTACACGAGAGAAATTATTGAATTTGTTGAGCTATAGCAATCGTAGTCAGATTTACTTTACACTGAGATTTGCCACCAATTACTTTGCCAGGTCTCATTGATGAGTTGTCAATGTAGTTGAAGATTGAACTATCAATTCAGGGTTGTTTGCTCAAAACCAACTTCCCCAATTTTCGCGGAGGCATCAATACGACAGTCACCGTCTCATCGGTCGCTGTTCAGAGAGAAGTCAGCAGAAAACCGTCAGAAGTAATATTGTGATTTATTATTGTAATGTTTGTTCACAGACCTTAGTTATACATTATTTATATGTTGGTGTAACAATAAAGAATCCTCGAGTCAACAATTGGTGTTTTGGTTTTTTCGTCCGTTATTACTAATCGTTTCTGAGAAACTTCAAGGGACAGCGTGAGCCTGAGCGTAGCAAGAGCTGGGCATTAACGGTTTACGAGACGTGACTGACAGACTCCATTTTTGATGTATGTCGACCTAACCTTAACTAACTGAAAATCTTATATACTGAAATTTGTAATTTTCATAACCGTATTCGTGTGCACAATGCCTTAACTGGAAACAGGACACAAGCACTACCATCATTAAACCTGTAATATTCTGTTCATAATTGTCTTTACGTATTTTTGTTCCACCTTTTGTGGTTAACTATGTGCTACAAAATTGTAAACAATGGAAGTAGTCACGCAACTTGTTCGCATCTCAAGGCACGTCAGCAGTTGTCCCTCGAAATCAACGTGACACACTGAAAACCAAAAAGAGTATTATCGATGTGGGCATTACGAGATTTAGTAAAAATTATAAGTATTTTAGTGAAGTTACGTGTATATGCCGCATAGTCATATGCAAGTCTTTAGGGACCAATGACAACAACAGGTAGAAATTAGGTACTGCATTCGAGTTCCAGTTCGTATACGGTTAGGTGTATTCGAAAGTATTGCATTAATAATGTTTCACTTAAGCATTATGTCAATCCATATGACTAAGGCTGTTAACATATAGCGTAAATTGAAGTCTACACGAGAGAAATTATTGAATTTGTTGAGCTATAGCAATCGTAGTCAGATTTACTTTACACTGAGATTTGCCACCAATTACTTTGCCAGGTCTCATTGATGAGTTGTCAATGTAGTTGAAGATTGAACTATCAATTCAGGGTTGTTTGCTCAAAACCAACTTCCCCAATTTTCGCGGAGGCATCAATACGACAGTCACCGTCTCATCGGTCGCTGTTCAGAGAGAAGTCAGCAGAAAACCGTCAGAAGTAATATTGTGATTTATTATTGTAATGTTTGTTCACAGACCTTAGTTATACATTATTTATATGTTGGTGTAACAATAAAGAATCCTCGAGTCAACAATTGGTGTTTTGGTTTTTTCGTCCGTTATTACTAATCGTTTCTGAGAAACTTCAAGGGACAGCGTGAGCCTGAGCGTAGCAAGAGCTGGGCATTAACGGTTTACGAGACGTGACTGACAGACTCCATTTTTGATGTATGTCGACCTAACCTTAACTAACTGAAAATCTTATATACTGAAATTTGTAATTTTCATAACCGTATTCGTGTGCACAATGCCTTAACTGGAAACAGGACACAAGCACTACCATCATTAAACCTGTAATATTCTGTTCATAATTGTCTTTACGTATTTTTGTTCCACCTTTTGTGGTTAACTATGTGCTACAAAATTGTAAACAATGGAAGTAGTCACGCAACTTGTTCGCATCTCAAGGCACGTCAGCAGTTGTCCCTCGAAATCAACGTGACACACTGAAAACCAAAAAGAGTATTATCGATGTGGGCATTACGAGATTTAGTAAAAATTATAAGTATTTTAGTGAAGTTACGTGTATATGCCGCATAGTCATATGCAAGTCTTTAGGGACCAATGACAACAACAGGTAGAAATTAGGCACTGCATTCGAGTTCCAGTTCGTATACGGTTAGGTGTATTCGAAAGTATTGCATTAATAATGTTTCACTTAAGCATTATGTCAATCCATATGACTAAGGCTGTTAACATATAGCGTAAATTGAAGTCTACACGAGAGAAATTATTGAATTTGTTGAGCTATAGCAATCGTAGTCAGATTTACTTTACACTGAGATTTGCCACCAATTACTTTGCCAGGTCTCATTGATGAGTTGTCAATGTAGTTGAAGATTGAACTATCAATTCAGGGTTGTTTGCTCAAAACCAACTTCCCCAATTTTCGCGGAGGCATCAATACGACAGTCACCGTCTCATCGGTCGCTGTTCAGAGAGAAGTCAGCAGAAAACCGTCAGAAGTAATATTGTGATTTACTATTGTAATGTTTGTTCACAGACCTTAGTTATACATTATTTATATGTTGGTGTAACAATAAAGAATCCTCGAGTCAACAATTGGTGTTTTGGTTTTTTTCGTCCGTTATTACTAATCGTTTCTGAGAAACTTCAAGGGACAGCGTGAGCCTGAGCGTAGCAAGAGCTGGGCATTAACTGTTTACGAGATGAGGTTGAAGATTTCTAACGATAGATACAGATTCTTGCGGATTCCGACGATAAGTGAACGTTAGCACATTCGCCGTTCATCTATCTTGGTTCCGGTCAAGTCCTCTTTGAACAAGTAATATCTGGAACTGTTTTGGAATTGGGTCAAGTTCAAGAATGCCTGGGTCAAAGAAGGGACAGAGCGTCTTGGATGCAAACAGGAAAGTAAGTCATGGTGACTTGTCTGTTAATTGTAACGATGTGTCTGATGTTAAGCATGACATGGTTGATGTTATTGTTTCGCCGTTCAGGGATAATAGGAACATCAAACTCCCTAAGTTTGAACCACGGTGTTTTGATGGAAACCCGGCCGATTATTTACAATTTGTAAAGGAGTTTGAGGTCACTTTGAGTAGTTTTCTATCAAGTGATGAATTGAAGTTAATGTATTTGATGAGATATTGCACTGGAGATGCTTCAAGAGCTATACAGTGTTGTAAGTTTATGAAGCCAAAAGAGGGATACGATGAGGCTATGAGCATATTACGTCAAAGGTTTGGAAGACCTTCGATGATTGTAGGGAAATTTTTCGAAGCTGTTAAGGGTTATGGTGGTCACTTACAGGATGACTCCCAGGCACTCACTGAGTTTTTGGATAATTTGCTGATTTACAAGAATGCATTGATTTCTATGAATCGCATGAGTGACCTCAACTCGAGTTTTATACTAGAAGTAATCGCATGACGCCTACCTATTCGACTGCAAAGGAAGTGGGTGAAGATATGCTCCCGTATGGAGGATGAGGGTATCGAGCCAAGGTTTGATGATATCCTGAAACTGGTAAATACTACTGTCAATCAATCGATGAGCAAGTTCGCCAGTATATTGAATCTCACCCCTAGAATAGAGCAGTCTGAGTGCAAAATGCAATCATTGATGACGAATAGGCCTCAGAGAGGTGGATATCGAGAAGGCTCCATGATGTCTAGTAATGCATATAAACTAAGTAAGTGCAACAGGTTTCGTAGTACATCCTCAATAGATAAGTTACAAGGTGGAAGACAAACACGGTTGTGTTTTACACGTTTGCAAGAGGTGCATACAAAGGTGAACTGTAAACAAGTGAGCAAGTTCAGTGATAAGCTAAATTTGAACTCCAGGCCTGACTCCGAATTGTGTGACGATAACGGTGCGGTCAAGAAGTCTGTAGTTGCAACTGGTAAGCCATTGTTGAATAGAGTGTCACAGAATAGAGTTGCTGCTTCAGAGTGCAGTTCTGACCCTACAAGTTTACAAGGTATTACTAGTCAGAGTGAAGTTATATAACCTTTTAGGATTTGCGAGGAGGAATCAAAATTGTCTACTTCTGTTATTAAAGAGTTTGAAAATGATGAACTTGACGGTAAAGTGAATATTCGTGATAATGATCATGATACTTCACAGTTGTCTTTGGTTGATCATGATGAGATGAGGGATATGCCTACTACTGCTAAGTTGAACAAAAGTTCTGTACAACTTGAACGTGAGGTGGAAATAAATGCAGATGCAGTTGCAGAAGGCATGCATACTTGTCAGACCGTCAGTGGGAGTGATCAGCATGTAGCCCACCTATCATCAGATGCTATTGCTAAACCTGAGCTGATAGTAAATGACGGCAGTGGTGGTGGTCTTGCGGGTAGACAACTTTCTGAAAGCCGAGCAACAACAGCCTTTGATCCACCGCTAACTTCATCAACTGGTATCAATCAGTCGTCGTTGGTGTTGTCACCCACAATGAAACAGACGCCCATCAACTCCAGTATCTTGTGCAATGATTTTGATAGTATTGGTGCGTTTCAAAAGACGAAAGATATTGGTCAGTTTAGAGAGGATAAGCCAAGTGTAAACGAAAGAGTAATTGTTAAATTGACTTGAACGAATAAAGGCACTTCTAGTTTCAAGTCACTATTTGAATGCTATTATCTTTAGTGTAAATTACTCTGTGCCTACGCTTGGTTGACCAGATACGTCGTATGTTTGTTCGTCATCTATGTTCTACGATACAATGACATGAGCGTGTTACCGTTCAGATTTGAGGATATAGCTGATAGAGGGAAGTCAGCAAATGAACTCTGCGACGATTTTCCAACCTAGGGCGTCAATCTGAGAAAGGTTGTAGGCGTACTGTTGTAAGTCCTATAATTCTTCAAAGGGTAGCGCATCAATGAGCAATCCAATGTGCTCGGTGTGTGATTTTGTACATAAGTTCATATTGTATATACTGAATTGATATCATCTATCATCTAGCTGTTGGTAATTCTGTTTGCGTCCGGACGACTTCCACTTGGATTATCAACCTGAGAAGGAATGTAGGCGTGCTGCTGTAAGTCCTACAGTTCTTCAAGGGTAGTTTGTCGTGCCAGAATCCACAACATTTGATGTGTTGATTGTACATATGTTTGTGTTAAATAATTGTGTGAGTTCTAATTATCGTAATTGTTGGTTAATCTTGTTTGTGTCCGGACATTCCACAACTTACACTCGTCAACCTGATAAGGGTTGCTGGCGTACTGATATAAGTCAGTAATTGGTAGTAAGTGGATAATAGAATGTGCGTAGAGTGTCATTAGGTGCTGCTATGATCACGTTGCGTTCTTCAAGAGTCATTCTAGCAAGTGATGATTTTGCTGCAACATATCAAGAGGATGCTTTTTATTGGAAGGTGTAGGTCGTCGTCGATGTGTGAGATTGTGCTGTGGGTATGTGTTTGGTGTTTTTGCTTTTCTGTTTGTTTTCCTATTCAGCTCTGTGCGTGTGACCAAGGTTCTCGCACTGGCATCCTTTTTTTGCCGTGGAGTGTCAATGTAGTTGAAGATTGAACGATCAATTCATGGTTGTTTTCTCAAAACCCGACTTCCCTAAAATTTTCACGGGTGATCAATCTGCCAGTCATCGTCTTATCGGTCGCTGTTTAGAAAGTACCTAGAAAAAACTGTCAGAGGTAAAATAGTGATTTATTGTTGTAATATTTGTTCTCAGACCTTAGTCTGTAATGCTAACAATGCTGGTTATATGTTGGTGTTAGAATAAAGAATTCTCGAGTGACCAATCTGTGTTCTGGTTTTCGCGTCCGTTTGTAATAAACGTTTCTTACAGGCTTCGAGAAACAGCGTGAGGCCCGGCGTAACAAGAGCTGGGCATTAACGGTTTTTGAGACCTTATTGACACTAGGAATCAAAGGATCGAGGGTCTTTTTTGTTATGTCGCCGCCTAAGGGAATTAGGGATTTGTTTTAGTCTAGGACAAGGATTATTTGGAGTGGGAATATACTTTTACTCTGTGTCGTTCCTTTTAAATTTGGCCAGTGTTTTGTAGTCCAGACTGTGTTCACATGCATTCTGGACAGCTCAGCAGCCACAAATATCTCATGCCACTGGAAAACCGTCATATAAAATCAAGACAATGAATATCGCATGGAGATTATTTGTCTGTATCCACAATGAGCACATAAATGAAAGGCTTGTGACTTGTGCAGGACATGAATGGTCTGGCCTCTGCCAAGAGGCGAAGGTGCGTATCTGCTAGGCAGATTGCTAGCAACTCTCTGCCAAAAGTGGAACACCTCATTCCTGTGGGATCAGGCTTTTAAGGGAAGAATTCTACTGGTTCCTAGGTACTGTTGAACGGACCGGTCTAGAGCTGACTCACTGCCTTATCTGACGAGTCTAACATCAGTGTAAGAGTAACATCTGAACTGAGATATTTTAGGGCTTTGGCATTCGCAAACACCTCTTCCATCAGTGCAGTCGCGTCGGATGCCTCCCTTGACAACTGAGGCTTTTGGTTCTCCTTCTTCGTCCATCACTCAGAGGCTGCATTTGTTGTGCCTAGTTAGGTATAAAGCATCGATGAAAATAGCTCAACCAGAGAAAACTCCGGAGATGTGTCAGGGATGTAGGCAGGGGATGCTGTTTGGCGATATCCATTTCTTTAGGTATCGGTAAGATCCGAGTATTTTCAATGCCGTCACCAAGAAATTCTACAGTAACTGCCTCAAAACTTACGTATTTGGTTGATCGAAATGGCGTTATATTCTAGTCTGCGTAATCCTGTCAGAATGTCATTGTCAGTGTGGTTGAAGATTGAACTATCAATTCAGGGTTGTTTGCTCAAAACCAACTTCCCCAATTTTCGCGGAGGCATCAATACGACAGTCACCGTCTCATCGGTCGCTGTTCAGAGAGAAGTCAGCAGAAAACCGTCAGAAGTAATATTGTGATTTATTATTGTAATGTTTGTTCACAGACCTTAGTTATACATTATTTATATGTTGGTGTAACAATAAAGAATCCTCGAGTCAACAATTGGTGTTTTGGTTTTTTCGTCCGTTATTACTAATCGTTTCTGAGAAACTTCAAGGGACAGCGTGAGCCTGAGCGTAGCAAGAGCTGGGAATTATTGGTTTACAAGACGTGGCTGACAGTTTCTGACGGTACAACGTCAGTTTTTAAACGGTTTTGGACAGTTAGCACGGCTTTGGATAGTCACCGTTCATCTATCCTAGTGCCGGTCAAGTCCTCTTTGAACAAGTAATATCTGGAACTGTTTTGGAATTGGGTCAAGTTCAAGAATGCCTGGGTCAAAGAAGGGACAGAGCGTCTTGGATGCAAACAGGAAAGTAAGTCATGGTGACTTGTCTGTTAATTGTAACGATGTGTCTGATGTTAAGCATGACATGGTTGATGTTATTGTTTCGCCGTTCAGGGATAATAGGAACATCAAACTCCCTAAATTTGAACCACGGTGTTTCGATGGAAACCCGGCTGATTATTTACAATTTGTAAAGGAGTTTGAGATCATGCTGAGTGGTTTTTTATTAAGTGATGAATTGAAATTGATGTATTTCATGCGATATTGCACTGGAGATGCTTCAAGAGCTATACAGTGCTGTAAGTTTATGAAGCCAAAAGAGGGATACGCTGAGGCTATGAGCATATTACGTCAAAGGTTTGGAAGACCTTCGATGATTGTAGGGAAATTTTTCGAAGCTGTTAAGGGTTATGGTGGTCACTTACAGGATGACTCCCAGGCACTCACTGAGTTTTTGGATAATTTGCTGATTTACAAGAATGCATTGATTTCTATGAATCGCATGAGTGACCTCAACTCGAGTTTTATACTAGAAGTAATCGCATGACGCCTACCTATTCGACTGCAAAGGAAGTGGGTGAAGATATGCTCCCGTATGGAGGATGAGGGTATCGAGCCAAGGTTTGATGATATCCTGAAACTGGTAAATACTACTGTCAATCAATCGATGAGCAAGTTCGCCAGTATATTGAATCTCACCCCTAGAATAGAGCAGTCTGAGTGCAAAATGCAATCATTGATGACGAGTAGGCCTCAGAGAGGTGGATATCAAGAAGACTCCATGATGTCTAGTAATGCATATAAACTAAGTAAGTGCAACAGGTTTCGTAGTACATCCTCAATAGATAAGTTACAAGGTGGAAGACAAACACGGTTGTGTTTTACACGTTTGCAAGAGGTGCATACAAAGGTGAACTGTAAACAAGTGAGCAAGTTCAGTGATAAGCTAAATTTGAACTCCAGGCCTGACTCCGAATTGTGTGACGATAACGGTGCGGTCAAGAAGTCTGTAGTTGCAACTGGTAAGCCATTGTTGAATAGAGTGTCACAGAATAGAGTTGCTGCTTCAGAGTGCAGTTCTGACCCTACAAGTTTACAAGGTATTACTAGTCAGAGTGAAGTTATATAACCTTTTAGGATTTGCGAGGAGGAATCAAAATTGTCTACTTCTGTTATTAAAGAGTTTGAAAATGATGAACTTGACGGTAAAGTGAATATTCGTGATAATGATCATGATACTTCACAGTTGTCTTTGGTTGATCATGATGAGATGAGGGATATGCCTACTACTGCTAAGTTGAACAAAAGTTCTGTACAACTTGAACGTGAGGTGGAAATAAATGCAGATGCAGTTGCAGAAGGCATGCATACTTGTCAGACCGTCAGTGGGAGTGATCAGCATGTAGCCCACCTATCATCAGATGCTATTGCTAAACCTGAGCTGATAGTAAATGACGGCAGTGGTGGTGGTCTTGCGGGTAGACAACTTTCTGAAAGCCGAGCAACAACAGCCTTTGATCCACCGCTAACTTCATCAACTGGTATCAATCAGTCGTCGTTGGTGTTGTCACCCACAATGAAACAGACGCCCATCAACTCCAGTATCTTGTGCAATGATTTTGATAGTATTGGTGCGTTTCAAAAGACGAAAGATATTGGTCAGTTTAGAGAGGATAAGCCAAGTGTAAACGAAAGAGTAATTGTTAAATTGACTTGAACGAATAAAGGCACTTCTAGTTTCAAGTCACTATTTGAATGCTATTATCTTTAGTGTAAATTACTCTGTGCCTACGCTTGGTTGACCAGATACGTCGTATGTTTGTTCGTCATCTATGTTCTACGATACAATGACATGAGCGTGTTACCGTTCAGATTTGAGGATATAGCTGATAGAGGGAAGTCAGCAAATGAACTCTGCGACGATTTTCCAACCTAGGGCGTCAATCTGAGAAAGGTTGTAGGCGTACTGTTGTAAGTCCTATAATTCTTCAAAGGGTAGCGCATCAATGAGCAATCCAATGTGCTCGGTGTGTGATTTTGTACATAAGTTCATATTGTATATACTGAATTGATATCATCTATCATCTAGCTGTTGGTAATTCTGTTTGCGTCCGGACGACTTCCACTTGGATTATCAACCTGAGAAGGAATGTAGGCGTGCTGCTGTAAGTCCTACAGTTCTTCAAGGGTAGTTTGTCGTGCCAGAATCCACAACATTTGATGTGTTGATTGTACATATGTTTGTGTTAAATAATTGTGTGAGTTCTAATTATCGTAATTGTTGG